TCATTAACGTTAAACATTCCATCATTCACGATCGTTTCTCTGACTCCATTTATCTCATATGGTTTTGGTCTCATCATCATCATCAATTTGATATCTAGGCTTCGCTTAGAAACAAAAGCTGTTTATAATGCTTAGCTCTGACTGAAAGGTGGCAAAGTTCTTCTTCGCTTGAGCTTGACCTAATTTAATATTTTAACAGATTAAAATATTTCTACTTAATATTATTAATATTCACTTTCAGGATATTCCCATACTCACCCGATCAATTTGAAGTTTTGCTGTTTTATATTATACTTCAAATGATATTCATTTTTTAAATTCTTCGATATCGAATTTAAATTCTTCGAAAATTTTAAATTCGAAATTCTTCGTGCGAAAATAAATAAAATCGAAATTCGACTTTCACCCCATCTTTGTGTATGCTATCCCAACGGCTGTGAAATGAATGATCGTATGTGTTGAAGAATAGCAACTTGATAATATTGCAGCGTTAATAACACGTGTAATATTCACCACTTTTAGAAATTTCAAAACGAATTCGCCATTTTTAAGAACAATTAGCAATTATTCCTTCGAAAGTTTTATAAATTGCAGTTAACGAAATGAAATCTGGTAGAATTTCACGAATACATACATCCAACATAATAATGCAATCATCACAAATTGCTAAAAATAATGATGCTGCTCTCTTGATTGTTCCTTCGAACAAACAAAGTAAAAAATTAGATCTAGCGATAAACATAACTTCAGCGCTAACATTCCACTGTTGTGTCTGACGATTGAAACAAAAGAGAGTAAAAATGAATAGATGTTAAGCAAATGATAGCGTCAATAAACAATAGAATTAACATACTGAAGGCTATCAATCATAACGTTAATTAACTCAATCATAAAAATCTTCGATAACATCGCACAGACACATTGCTTTTTTCATGTACTTCCGTAGTGTCAAGCATACTATATTCGAATGCAACAATGGCAAAATATGATTTTGTATCAGAACTGGCTTAAACAAGCATCCGGTGATACTCTGCCATGAAACTGATCGTCCTATAAGATCTCTTAAAGTTGCATCAGCAGTCATTCATCTTTTCTAACTTACACACCTACTGAAATCTTCGCCAACGATATCAAATCACATCTTCATGCATTCCATATTAGAATCTTGACTTATTTATATCATTAAGTCGCAACCATAAAAATATTAAGATACACCAATAACTGCTCGGAAAATCTACATTGCTGAATAATATTCAATCCTGATCAAAGATTATTTTATGTAAATCCTTGAAGCAACAATGGGCACAACGCTAGCCTTTAGTCGTGAAATTTATTTCACCCTATTGATAGATCATATTTTTTCAAAAAATCTCTCACCTCTTCCGTCCTTCTTAAAACAGAGGAAATTTCAAAAGCTTAAATGCTCATAAAAATAACTGATACACTACTGTTCTTGCATGAACGCCGCAGTAAGAGATAGTGTTAAATATGAAGAGCTGCAACACTTTTACTATGAATTTAGAAACAATCATTGAACGTTTGAAGGGATGAAGAGTGCTCATTCAATTTTGAAGTTAACTGACCGGAAAAGTGGCATGGAAATGAGCGACTGTAACATGACGTAAGTGGCGAAGCAACGTCGAAAGACGACGTAACGGTGTGGTAAGGGATCTTCTTGAATACGGACGTAATATTGATGAAACAACTGATGTTTGATGTGGTGAAGTAATATTAGTTGGATGTGATGACATTAGATTGGATTTGAATGCAGTTCAGCACAAGGCAGTTGTTCATGGATTGGTAAAAATAACAACAGTAAGTTCAGTGGTGGTTCGCATTCGGTGCTGCCATCTTATACAGATACTTATGCGAATCAAACGATTCCTCTTAAAATACAAACAATAATAAATGCTCATCGCTACAAAAAACACAAATATTAACGAGTCTGAACACGATTCCAACAAAATCTATTGCAACCAATATATATA